GACGTGTGCTCTTCCGATCTATCAAGATACAGCTTTGTAAAGTATATACATATAAATTATATAGAGAAAAATTAAGACAATACAAAGTGTTGAAATGTAATAAAAAGTTATTATTATGGTGTAAGTATTATCTTTTTGCATCAACTGTCATCAGCTTATAAGGTTAGAAGTACTTTACTGAATTAAAATGGCGGTTGCTACCTAACCTAACTGACGCCGTGTCGCATCTCTGTATTCTAGGACTCTAATCGTACAGAGAGTCAGTCAGAGAGTACGTGTCGCTGCCTGTCGCTTCTTGCGACACGCAGCGCATTGCCGCGTTCTATGCACAGCCATTAAGTTGTCACGCGAAAAGCTGGATTGTCAACGGCCGATGATTGTTGATCGTATTACAATTATTACATCGTGTCGTGACATGTAAGTTAACGTCCTGGAAAGTTTCGCCTTGAACGCATAAAGGAGTATTACGGAGACGGAGATGGAGCACGTTGACGGCCCGAGCTATTTCGAAACGAGTACGTATCGCAGGAATGTGCATATTTGCAGACTAACGCTCTTATGTTTACATTCGTGTCATCGCGATTACCTTCGCTTCCCGCTTCCGGGAGCAAACGTCACGCTCGCGGCACAACTGTAAGTAGCCTTTCTTTATTGCAGTTTGGGCCCCGATAGCTTCTGTGGGTTGGTACATCGTAGGACTCGGGATCATCGCCTTGTACACGTTTCCACATATTCAAGAAAAATATAAGAGTTGGAAAGTCGGGAGGAACCAGCGGGATGCCGCACTCGGCAAGAGTGAGTGTCGATGACTTGTCCCAAGGCCCCAATTCTTACTTGATGGGGCGACAAATAATTTGCGGTATATATTATTTGTACAATACATGCAATTTGTTTCACCTTTGTGTCAATTGTATGTCTAGAGACCGACGAAATGCCGCAGATGTCAGCCAACGTGGAACTGGCGCGACAGAAGATGCAAGAAGCGTACAATAAGAGTTCTGCCGTAGCACAAGTCAAAGAGGAAGAGGTATCTTTTTTCTACGCGTTATTCGATATATATTAAGATACATCTTTGCACTTATACTTTTGAAAA